TATGCGCATCAGGCATCACATCTTGCGTTGACTGCTCCTGCAATTATAAAGGTCAGCTTTGAGAATGACTGTGCTACAAGAACGTATGAGATGCAATCCAAAGATGAGACCTACAGTTGCTCGTGGGTATTCACCTTCTGGAGTCAAAAAGTCCCCAGTTTCGCCGTCGATCGTCGGTCGTGCGAGCCGCTAGCACGGTCTCACGATAGCTAATCGAACTGACATCGCAAAACAAATATGACGAACTAGCTACCACGTGTTTGCTGCTGCTACATGGCCAGGCTGCTCAATAAAACCTGGCGACTATCGCAAAGACCTTGCAGACATGCACAGTGAAACGAAACCAAGCTCATTGGCTAAATCAACCCTTCTCGCTAGACATAACCTCGATGGTTGTAATGAAAGATCAGTGAAGAGGTTATTTTTCACAGAACTCGACTCTTAAAAACTGTTAGAAAATATTCTTGGGACGCGATATTATCCCACAACATCGACTCATTCCCAACACTCACAAAGCAATATCGATTGTTCAAGCGTGTTTAAAGTTAAGTTGTTTTTCGCGTTTTCCACACGTCTGACGACAACCTTAGAAACCATTGTTGACAAATTACGAAATAAAATTTGTTCAATTTCCCAAGGGACCCGCCTTTCTTCGATATATATGTATATATGTACATTTATATATATACCAATTTGAAAACAGGCGTCCCAAGAATCATAATTCGAAAGAAATAAGCTCTTTGGGAAAGATAAACAAGTTCAATTGTAAATTTTCGACTTTGGTTCACCAAGTCGTCCTCAAACGTGAAGTAAGTGTGCAAAGCAGTTAACTGTTAAACATGCCAAAAATTGATTTTGCTCTGCCACTCCTGCTGGCGTAATGTCCTGATTGGCCAATGCTTTTTCCACTTCTCCTTGATGCTGTTGTACACCGCATTGGCCAATCAGGACATCACATCAGCAGGAGTGACAACGCAAAATCAATTTTTTGGCATGTTTAAACGTGAACTGTTTTGCAAACTTGCTTCACGTCTGAGGACGACTTGGGGATCCAAAGTCGAAAATTTACACTTAAACTTGTTTATCTTCCCCAAATAACTTATTCCTCTCGAAATATGTGTAGGCGGAACCGCATTACGGAGAAAGACAAGGGAGACTGGAGTGGCCGTTTCTGGCGTATTGACCGTCGTCAACCAGCCACCCCCAAGCCCGAGTCAAGGAATATCTGGGGCTCGATCTGATGAGTAATAGAGAGGGAGATGCCGATCACCATAGCTCGACTCAATCGATAATCGTTGTGAGTTTCCAACCGGCAGGGTAACTCGGTCCTTCTTTAGAAGGAGAGACGGACCGCAGTGGTCCCCTTGCTCTTGTGGCGTCGATAGTAGTCCTCCTCTCTGCGAGTTTCGTCACCCCCAAATGAAGTCAACTACGCGTGGACTTAGGACCCAGGCCGTGTGTGGAGCGCGCAGACGGGGCGCTTAACTTTGTTAGTACCGCGCCCCATGCCTACCTGAAGTCGCGTTTAATTTGTTTTGCCATCGAAGCACGGCGGACATCGGAAGAGTGAAGTGTGGCAGTTGATCGCGTGCCAGCATGGATTTTCGCTTACCCATAACGCCTTTGTCCCACCGAACAGACCTGTCACTTGAATGTCCATACCGCACGTGACTCAGCTGCTCGCCGCCGCCGCCGCCGCCGCCGCCGCCGCCGCCGCCGCCGCCGCCGCCGCCGCCGCCGCCGCCGCCGCCGCCGCGGTGGTGGTGGTGGTGGCAGTCGACATTTTGGCCTTCGCTGATTGGCTGCAGGATAAGATGGCTCAGACGCACGTTTACACTTTGAACTCTCCAAAAATAAAATATGGTTCTCGGTGTGGTTGAGAAATGGCTGCCGCAGTAAAGACTGCCCTGCCGTTCTCTGCCCCGAGTTTTTTATTTGGGAAAATACTCGCCGTCAATTATGGCTCGATGACAGCTGCAGCACAAGCGCGGCTCTTCAAAGGCGATTTCAGGCACCACTGTGATTTCCTTCATTTGGGATGGACTAAATACCGACGGTTAAAAAGAGTACCTGTGTGACAAATTCACTTGCAATGGGGAGCGGGGAAGTATCCGAGCGTTTCCGTAAACCCCCTTACAGTCGTACTGCGACGAAGAATTCTGGTCTTCCGTGGCGCAGAGATTTTACGCAGGATCAGGAGAAGAAGCATAAATTCGCCAAATTTCGCCTGAACACATACACTAATTACGCTTGCCTACCAGTCACATTTTAACTGTGGTACTTATGTCAGTTTAGTGAAAGATGAAATAAACCAGTGGGGGGAATGAATATTTTGTACATGGGCCCGAGAGGTTGTCTTAGGCAGTGATAGGAGACCAGATAGGTCTGAGCACCTGGTGGGAATTCAAACAAATTTTAAAAGCGCACTGACAAGCATGAACAATGAGACATGAATGCTGTCCCTATCAGACAATAAGATCTTAGGTACAGTAGATGTGCTATCTCACAAAGTGTTCGCCGAAATGCTGAAATGTGTTTTCGATTTGAAAAGATTATTTAAGTAGAGTTGTAATACTAATTGTCCCGTGGAATAACAAAATGTTCCGGTCACAACAGGATGTCGGTTTTCGAATGAGCTTCCCAGCGGCTGCCTGCGTAAATTACACTACGTAAAAATGGCTACTTAGGTAGCATGAATTTTTCCCAATTGATTCTTGAGGCCCTTATAAATTCAGCTTTATCCCATAAGGACATATAGAAAATATTTTTTTCTACATATTTAACAGCGAATTACGTCTTGTTTAAGTTTTATACCTGAAGAAAGAGCATTTTTCAGTTTTAAAAAAGTTTCTGATTATGAGATTTTTCGAAACCGCGAAACGCCCGATCGTACAGCATCGCATCAACGCATTTATTAATGCTGCCTATAAATTGGACAACGCAGTGCGCATCAAGGGCAAGATTTTATAAGTCCAGTTCGGAAACCCTGAATGCAAACGTAACGGCAGGGGAGGTTCAGAATCATTCGGGCCGCGTGTTATATGCGCTGGACCGACACGGAGGCCACATTGGATTCTGGCAGGCACTATCCGTGCTCAATAGTAAATGCCAGCATTTAGGGGGCGCGCTGGCAGTCCCTGTTGTCGACAGTCGTTGCATAACTGGGTTCACTGTCACGCCCTCCATTGTTTTGTGGTCAAAATCCTGGTCATTGTTTGTGGACCAGGGCTGCGGAGTGGAGCGCCAAGGTGCGGACCCCTCTAAGCCATCCACGTGCGGCCTTCCTCGTCTCCAGTCTTCCTGACTCTGTCTTAACACCGGGCCCAGGCGGGGGAGGAGGAGAGAGTGTAGGTAGATGCAGCGCAAGTCTACTGGCACTATAAACCCCTGCGCAAGTCGCCGTCCCTGCTCCCACCGCTGCTGCAGCTGTGGGGCACACGGTGGACATCGTCGAAATCGACGGTCGAACTGTCGTGTGTGTGTATGTGTGTGTGTTTTCATAATAATTAAGTAGCTACCTTTTCGAAATATAGTGCATACAATCGGTCGATGAGAAACTCACTCAAAATCGTGCATCCTAACAGGACCATAATATCTGAGCATTATGCAACATGATAATGAATATTACAATGTTATTACCGACAAAGACAAGAGGTAATAACATTCTGCCTCTATCATACGTCGCTGTACGGCTGCTGGTTGGGCTCGAATGACAGCCCGTAAGGCACAACGGAAGGAGTGGGTTTCGTAAGAACAATCTTTGAGCGCCCCCCCACCATCATAATATTAAAATCCTGCTTCAGTAATCTCATCGAATTGGAAGCACACTCAAGAATTTCAGTCAACATTTCATGGAATAACATATTCACTGTAATATATATTTGGGGCACCTCAGAACTAATCCATGGGGCCACACGGTGGTGCAGGCCGGATTCTAACAGGCGACTTGTAGGTTTCTGCCCTACTGGAAACGAAAACGTCAAATAAAAACCGGTGATTTGCCCCTAAACGAGTTGTTTTTACTCTACTAATTCAGGCTATTCTAGCGGCGTAAAGCCGCAAGGTGACGCGCGCGCGGAGCAGTTGATTAATTCTGTAGTCAGTGCACTGAGCTTCCTTCAAGTGTCCACACGTTCGGCTGTCTGCGACTGGGGTGACGAGAGCGGGGTAGCACCTGGTTGAGCTCATTTAGTGGCCGCCAGAAAACGTGTTTAAACACGATGATGTGACGCTACGGCTTTGCTAGACGTGTCATGACTGTTCATGCATGAATTTAGTCCGGAATCCCCCGTCAGCAGCAATTAGACCACTGCCTTCAGTGCGAGAAAACTTGGGTTAGTGGAGGACATCGCGTTTTCTATCAGAAAAGCACATAGGGTACATTGTGGGTACTCACGGATGAGCCGAGGCCATCGCAGCTGTGTTTTGAAGCGGCGGAATATCGGCGAAACACGCGTGTCCGGGCTTTTAGCTAGGACCTGTGCCGTCAGTATGGCGTAGTAGGTACTGCCAACAGTTTAATGAACATAACGCGGCAACCGCCCTTGTGACTGCTAGAAGTCGACCCAAATATTCCTATGGACTTTCAGTCTACGCCAATAAAACCTCAAATAGACTGATTTACTCCAAGCCAGCGATTAATTTCTACGAAAATTAAGAATCTACAGGTATTTCTTCTGTCAGCTGGTGTATCCCTACACGTCTCGTTCATCTAGGGACCACCTCAGCTCCCTCATGACCCTGAAATTTCCAGGAAGATGCAAAGCAGTTTAAAAATTTAGTAAACCCCGATGCAAACGGGCTGAAGTCATTTGGTTAGAAATCATATGAAGCTGTGTCGTTGCTGTACTCCTTGGTTACCTTCAACGATGATACCCGTAAAGACGTTTAAAAAGTCAAGTTCGGTAAACGTATTTTAAACGACCAGTAAACAGCAAGTACGGGGGAGAGGGCTGAGGACGTTCAGAAGTCAGGGGTTATTATTTAGTTCCTTCAGAGGCTTAAACAGAGGAGGAGGAGGAGGAGGAGGAGGAGGAGGAGGAGGGGGAGGAGGAGGAGGAGGAACGGGTCTGCCAAATCTCTGTTTTGTCGCTGCAACGCAACATGGCAGGAAGTGTGAAAACATGAGCTCGGTTCACCCTTGGCCAGTGAAGCCTCAAGGCCTGTATAAAGGCCTTATGCCGCCCCACGCTAACAGGCCCCTCGTCGCTGTTGATCGATTTTCGGACCGATTCTCAAGCCGTTCGACATTACTGGCATTGCGTTTGTCACCCTGGCCTTGAGCGTGCTGAAAGCGTGAGGCTTTGTTGAGTAAACAATCGTTTCGATATGGTCCCATGGAGGATAATCTCGTGCAGATAGGTCACATGAACGCACTGGCCAGGTTTCCACATGTTTGACAATATGCCATCCACAAAGTATCCCACCTTGAACATACAGTGACGAGGTGTTCCGTTCGGTTGGAAGGAAGAGTTGTCTTGAAAAACTAACCTCTGCGTGTTGCGGATGACGAATTCTGTCTGATAACGCTCGTCCTTGGCTTCAGTCATTGCCTCCTCACTGATCTCAGGTCTGTTATATGTTGGTTTGTTAGTAGTCGCTGCCGTTTCTTCAAAAACTTTCGCCCACTGACAGGAGCTCTGTGTGGACATGAGGATTATACTGAGCGTTGAAGCACAACCTCACAAAAGCACGCGGGCAACTCTTTCTTTCGAATGTGTCATGGAGGAAATGACAGGGTGTTTAAGTCCTACCTGGTTTTTACTAAATGGTCCCATCATTCGCTAAGGGTTAGAACCACTGGTAGACTTCATAAACACCCTGTATTTGAGAAGTATTACTGACACCTCAAATCGCTAGCAGGTCTAGAGCGAAAAAAGCTCGGACTTTTGGGTGTGCCTGTCTGATGATGACGTCTACGCGGCAAATAGTCACTCCAGTCTTCCCGGTCGTTGTCGGTAAACCCCTATCACCTGCGGACTGTTCGTTGCCATGCCAACGCTTGCATGAGCCCTAAGACCAGGGCTCTTAACTTTTTATCCCTCTCGCCAAGCATATTGTCTTTCAAAATCACACTTAGCTGGGCTGATGCACGTAAACATATGAATTGTGTTCTTATTGCGGGGCTAATTTAGAACAAGGCAAAGGCGACGAAACATGCAGGAGTTAGTGACGTCATAAAATTTCGTGACCTCTTACTCAACTGCACGCGGTCATTGCGTATTTATAAGACATAATAAGCTTTCCAATTAGAGAGCGACCTAGAGGGATGAAAGGTGATCGGTAAAATAGCACATGGACTGTTGGTCTGATGTGCGGGTGCGTATGGCAAGGGGGAGGGGGAGGGGAATTAATCAAGATTGGAATGTCAGACACTTACCAGTTTCCAGTCCTGACATCGCAGAAGCCTCTTAACTCTCGTGGTTAAACCGGTAGAAATCTACTTAAAAAGGTCGCTTAACATTGGAGAAAGTTAATAGATGATGACCGTTGCTAATTAAGTGGGTCATTTCGTAGTTTTCTCTTTTTTTACTTTGAGGCGCTAAGATAAATAAGTGAGTGACGGGACGTTAGACATTCTGTGTCAGACTACAAGGCTTGACTGTCCTTGAACCCACGGCATGCACGACCACAGTTTCTCGTCACGGATATGCTGATGTCATCGGGGGGGGGGGCAAATAAGTGTTCTCGAATGGTCTGACAGTCTGTTCTCTGCCAGTATCAGCAAACCATGGTCCTCGCAGCCTGGTATGCGCTGGCAGTCCCCTGACGCCTGATCCCCTGCTGGCAGATGCGCTTGCGCTCCCGCTGGGTAAACAGGTGGTGGGCATGGCTCCCCAGTCATCATCCTCGTCCTCCGGACAACCTGTCGGGATGTTGTTGTTGGCCAGGTGTATGTTGTAGACCAGCTGGCACGCCTAGGTGCGAGTCCGGCCATGCCAGTCACCTGCGCCCTTACCCGCCTCCGGCCTTCTCGACTCTGTCTTGACACCGGGTCCACATGAGGGGTGGAGAAGAGAGAGTACGGTAGATGCTGCGCAAGTCCACTATCACTATGAGCTAATTCACGCGCAAGTCACCATGCCCACGGCACCTTGCTGTGTAGCACACGGTAGACATCATCGGAATCGACGGTCGAACTGTCGGGCTGTCTCTCCGCCCTGAAGTTAGTCGGGCGACTATGGCTTAGCTCGCCTGGGGTAGAGTAAGGCGGGTGTGCACTTGGGGCACCCATGACTACGATAAGTGACCACAAGGTGCGCGATCCAATGACGACGGGCGACTATAGCTTTACACTGACTCCAATCCGATCTCGTTAGGGGGTCTGCCGCTCCGATCGTATGAATGACTAGCACGGCAACCGGGGACAATAGTGTTAAGCGTTGGGTTCACTCGAGGGAAAAGATGTAGACTGATAGATTGACAGTAGAAGACAGGATGGCAAGGATTGGTGCCAGAAGACAATAGTCCATCCATCGCAGACGACGTGTACTACAACTGTCTCGACGTCTGGGTGCTGTGACCCCCCCCCCCACCCCTGCCCCGGGGGGCAGTGTCGGCGGTGACTTTCATATGTGCTTGTTTACAATGAAACAGAGTTGAGCTGCGCTCACCGCCCGTCTGGTTACCGCTGTTGTGAAGACTAAGGACACGATTGCCAATCTCGGACTACGGATGTTAGGATAAGACGGGAGTTATGAAAGAATTAAGCATTAAATATCAGACAACCTGATAGCCCAACACTTGCCGCGCACGTTGCGTTGAGCCGAATTTGTTACATTCAGCTAAACAAAATGTAAGCTAGAGAATGACGAACAGGTAGAAAGTCTGGCGCCTCAGCACATCACCATTGATGACTCACCCCGTGTGTATGTTAAGGCGCCTTCGACTTGGTTGATTCGTACCCTGGTCGTTAGGTTATTCGCGCACGGCCCACGATAGCTGCACTCCAATCCACGCTCGACAGCAAACGCTTGTGCGCTCTCAGTTCGTGAATACCGGCCCTTCAGCCCTGCCACCTTGAGTTCTGATTTTGGTAGTTAGTCGTTCTCGGTACCGAACTAGTGCAGTGTCCCCTGGAATGCAAACCGGTTTTTGCCCCACACCTTCCCTTACCATCTCTTCATGTCAAGTTCCCCTTTAGCAAGGATTCGCAAACTTGCCTTCCACCTTCCTAGCATACCCCCCAACTCTTAGCCGGCAAGGTAAAAAGTAGCGCTTAGCCCAGGCACCACCGGCTGAAGTCGGGGACATCCCCATTAATGATGACATTTTATCGGTCTAGATGGCCAGCGATCAGGACGCCTTTTGTGCAAATTTTATGCTTCATCGTCGTGTGGCACCTGCCTGAGTCTTTAGGTCAAAGTAGCCCGACGATTAGTCGTGGAGTCAGTTCGCTCAAAATAGCATAAGGTCCTCAAAATGCTTGTAAGCAGTCGGCGTTAGCCTGCACTAAATGCATAACACGGTGCTGCCCTTATTGTATGACACCAGCATGAGAAAACAGAGATGGTTATTTTTGTCCCGAAATTAAACTGCAGCGTAAAGGCGATCGCTGTCTAATAAACCTCTCTGAAACGGCAGATAATCACAGTCTTTCGCTTACAGGTGGCATCCACGCCATGACATGATCCCGTCAAGTAGCGTTCCCGGTGAAGGCTGCATTAGCAAAAATAATAGTAATAATAATAATAATAATAATAATAATAATAATAATAATAGGCGTCAGTCAGTTTACGTATCGAGTTTTCATTGGTGATAGTAACACGCGTGCTCATTGTTCACGCCTGGTCCTGGCGGTCGTGTATCGTTGACTAGCAACCGACACGCACTGTTTGTTAGGACTGCTCTTCCGCCTTCACACAATAAACCCCCCCCCCTGTTGGCGTGACCCGTTCTTTTTACTACTTGCAGTATACGGTTGTTTGGGTCGCGTGATTAGGATATAGTCAATATCCTAGCTGTAGAATATTGCATTGCGATTGTAGGACAGTCGGGGAATTTTGGTTTTTTAGTGGGACTGTAGTTGTCCGAACCTGACCAGGTTGGGCTTCAAAACGGTAGGACGTTTAATATCGAAGCTCAACAACGAACCATTGACACAATGTTTACACTTGGTGCTACTTCGAGAAACAGCTGTTTATCAGATAGAGCCGGTTTGTCTTTCCGTGCAGTCAATTAATTCGCCAAGTTTCCCCGGCTGTCAATTCCCGTCCGCAACCGAATTCGGAAATGGTGCTGAAATGGACAATGGTCACTCGTCATCCCACGCTTAGGGGTCGCCTACTGATGCTAAAGTTTACCAACACACGGCAGCTGGCAAGTCCGATGGGGCGCCAGCCTGCCAGGGTTTCTCGCACAAACATGCTCCCGTGGGCGCCATCACCTGGGGGTGTGTCTTCTGATCCCGCGGTCAGACGAGGCGCGTCTGCTCATGAACATGCGCGCACCATGCATCTTCGCTCCCGCAAGGGCCCGGCAACGCCATGCCGCCGACGTCACCGTCGCTGCCTTGGCTTGCGCGTGCACCAGCGTCGACCCTTCTATCGATTGTCGCCGTTGGCTAGCTGACGGCCGGGACGTAACCAATCGGCGCTCGAGCCGGGACCTCATTGGTCAGTGTCGGGAAACTATGATTGGTTAGTCAAAACAATGTGGAATGCGTTTCCACTTATGCACGGCCGCGCTGTGGTGTTTGCGCACGCCACGTGATTAGCATTCACTTACCTGCTTTGCTTGCAGGACGCGGACCGCTTTCGTCGGGAGCTCGTGGGTCCAGCTTCTCGCCTTCTTCCCCTTCTTCTCTGGAGACTTATTGGAAAAAAATGCTTGAAGAATTAGCTCTACCTGAGAATCCCGATCCGCGAGTTGAGGGCTATCCCCTCATGGGCAGCTTCTGGCCTACGGCCGCCATTACCCTCGCGTACGTTGTTGGCGTTTGGCTATGGCGGGCGCACCTAGCTCGTCAACGAAACCGGTCCAGAAAATCAGCCACCAACGGCCACGCTGTGTCCAAGGCAGCCCAGCCAGCGCAAAAATATGATCTTGTGAAGGTCTTGATGATCCTCTACAACATCACGATGGTCATCTACTCTGGTTACCTGGTCGTCGAGACTCTGATCATGATTACCAGGGCCGGCTATACTCTTGGCTGTGTTCCCCTGGATAGGAGCACTGGAGAGCTTGCGTTGCGCCTGATTGATATAGGTTATCTCTTCTACTTCTCCAAGTTCATTGAAATGCTGGATACCATCTTCTTCTTGTGGCGAGGAAAGCTAGATCAAGTCACCTTTTTGCACGTGTTTCACCACGCTGCGATGCCTCCGTCAATATGGTGGGGAGTGAAATACGCTCCAGGTTGGTCCCCTTCCCTTTAACCTCTTACATGAATTTACTGCTTATCTTGTTGACCTCGATACAAAACTTGCCAAATAATCCAAGAACTTTTCGTAGAAACCTGTTGAAATTGATAGCAAATTACGGTTGTCAGGTGGAAGATTGTCAAGAGGTTGATATACATACATACCTATGGTAGAGGGGTCGTTCGCCGATCGTATTACGGAAATCACTCGTTCCGTTGTGCCTTGGGCGCTCTGTCAAATCCAACCGGTATATATAACCTATTTTTGTCCTGAAATGGTCGAAACCTAAG